AAATTTATAAAACCTGGATGCAATAACAATCTACCACACCTATCGTCTCGCGGCCTTTCTCGACGAAAAGAATAAATTTTTTTCCACAGTTCTATAAATTGGATCCAACGAAGTAATAAGTGAATAAACTTTTAACGATTCGTGTGTTTTGAACTGCAGAAAAAGAATAATTCTTCGATTGCTGTTTAAGTGCACACCTCAATTAGGCAGATTGTCGGCTCCCACTGGTTGTACTTCCACTTGCCGACATGGCCCGTAACAATGTCCTCCTCCTTCCCCTTTCTGAATAGGAAAGGTTGTGGGCTAGTAGGAAACCATGAAGGCTTTAAGGTGGCACACCAGAGACCATCGGAACCCCCCGCACATTTGATGGCCGCAAGATGACGTCCAAGCCTGGAGCAACGTCGATGTACAACAATGCCAACTACGAAGTCCTCGACTTTAAAGAATTTCGCTTGCCGCCCATGGCTTGTTTATTCTCCGCCAATCTCTTTAATTCGACACATATTTTATGCATGTTCACCTTTTTAGTTCGTAAGGTCGTGCGGCTAAAAAATTGATGAAAACAGGCAATTACAACACCTCCCAAGTGGTTGACGTAAAAACAGGTCCTAAAGACAACCTCTCGGAAGGTGAGAGCACCTTTTATGCCTATTTTCACTTTTCCTGCATATTGGGGAGAAAAACCCAACCCTCTTCTTTCTCTAACTTTACCATTTGGCGTTTGTAGGTGATCTTGGGGGATTCACCTCCGATTGCTTGTTTCGAACTTCGCCCATGTGACTATTAATGGCTCCGCGACGTGAACGCCTGACCACTTGGCAGATGAAGCATTGAAGAATGTCAATTTTCGCCGCTTTGACTCACGCTGTGAAAGGAATCACAGTCACTATTGACGCAGTAGTTGAGTCGATGAAGTGGGTGACGAAAGACTGGCTTGAAAAGACGAGATTCTAACATGCTTCCAAAGTTCACGCCACTCGAGCGGATAAAGAAAGGGCCACCAATATTGAACCTAATACAGACTGAAGGTGATACCACCGACATGCCTTGATGATTCACCAGTCAGGTCTCCAAAGCTGGATGAGTGGGCACCCGAACCCCAGAACATGGTGCACACAGAAACGGAAATAAGAGGTCGGTGCCACCACACAAGTACCACCCGTGCCTAGTCAAATTGACAGCTTAGAAGACATCAAGTTCTGGTGACATCATCACAGTCCAAAACCGTGTAACGGAGAATTACTACACTTACCTTGATCATGTTTTTGTGGAATGTGCTCAACTTATTTTTTTTTATTTGTCATTACTCAAACACAGTCTAATCAGAACGACAGAAAGCACACGGAATCCACATGAGAAGAATAGAAACAGAAGATGTCTTACCGTCTTTTTTCTTTAAGCAATCATTTAATGGAGTGAGAGGAGGGAGGAATGAAGTTACCACGGTGATAATAAATCAACCAATCATTCAGTCAGTCAAAGAGAATGAGAAGAGCATTTGCTGCTGTGTTCGTCTGTTCGCATGAACGAAATTGCGTCCAAGGATTAACCCACATTGTACGCGGCTGCAGAAGGATTAGTTGGCGGTGCCCTGAAACCGAAGACAATCAGTCAAACTGCCATTCATGGTATACGCTCTACTCATACGTAAAGTCACGTTAAGTAAGCGAAAGCTGCTTACTGCGCAAAACCGTTACTGCTTCTATTTTAAAATAAAAAAGCTCTTTTTGTTTACATATTGAATAAAAGCCTACAAAGTGTTAGGAAGCAGGAAGTCTACTGTTTCATTTACGTTATCTGGAAAAGAAAAAGTGAACTCACGCCTCGTCGTCAGCATCAGAGGAGTCACTGGAAAGGGGTAGATCAAAAATGGAATGCAAATTTCCTCCAAGTAACACGTGTCTTAAATTCAAACCACTGAGAACCGCAGTACATTGCAAAGTTTAAACAACTTTATCCAGCAAAACAAGGGAATGTCATGGCTACCACAGAACGTATTCAACCACTGAATCACTCAAATGACAAGATAGCGGATATTTGCGAAGGAAGGTAACAAGCGGCACCAGGCAGGTGATGAGAATGGGATGAAACGACCGCTTGTTAAGTATTCGGTTAACAACATTCATTTACTTTGAAAAAACCCCTCAATTCTCGAGGTGGATCAGCTTCTGAAAGCAACGAATTATTCCAGATGACAAGACGGCGAATGGGTCCGACTAACCGTCACATGCCGTGACAAGATACCAGATACCAAAGTGGAAAAGTACTGAAACATAATTGGTGAATGGGACAAAAAAACGTCAAGTTCAACCAGAGAAATGGGAAAACAAGAGCACTACCAGTTGGCTGACAAAAACGCGACTCAACAGCGACTCAGTCAAGGTACGGGATCTCAAAAAAATTTTGATGTTTATTCAATGCAGGAAGACGTTCAGAGGACAAAGTGACGACCATTTCTTAGGATTCACTAATGAAGACAATAATAGCTATTCTAGACGTCTAGGTAGGACAAGGTCTAATCACCGTTAGATAGCAAAACAAAATTCGTCCGAATGTCATTTTCCTACCTCCTCCCTGAATTAAATACAATAATAAACTTCACTTCATAGACACTGAGTTAATAGAGGGTTCAATAAGCACAAAGTATTGTGTACTGGGAAATTGAATCATATGATATGAATGGAAAGGGTGAACAAATTAAATCAGATTAATAGTGAGTAAATGAAGATGGATTAACGATTTCGAAGAGAATAGATGTATCCTGGATGGATGGATGAGGACGTGAAAGAGAAGCGATGGACGAATATTAAAAAGATAGGCGGAGAAAAAGACAGGCCAATGATCCAGAAACGGATGGACGAATTAATCGACGAATGGTAAGACTGTCTAATAGATGAACAAATAAACACACCGACTGCTAAGTCTATACGCACCAAACCTGGGTTGTTGATTTAGCGAACCACACGAACATGTCAGATGTAAAGAGAAGTACACCCTTTACATAGGCGAGTAGCAAATCTACAATGTCAAAACTTACTCAAAGACGGAAGAATGAATGGGAGGATCGCTGAATTGGTAAAAACAGAAGTAGACTGATAGACTAATAATATGAGAAGTGGATAGAAGGGAAGAAAAGGTGGTTCAAGGATGAGGTCAGCTGATAAACACCAAAAACTTGGTTGGTACGAAGGATAAACAGATACGCCCTCCAAATGACCACGAAAAAAACTCACCCATAGACGGTGGGATTCTGCATATGCTGCGGCGGTACGGGTTGCTGCAGATTTGGATGTGTTGGTTGCACCTGAGGCGGAATTGGTTGCTGTTGCCAAGCGTTCGGATCCATGGTATATCCGTAGGCAGGGGGAGGTTGGCCATACATGGGCATCGGAGCACCGTACATTGTGGGAACACCACCGGTACCGACTGCAGGAACGGCAGCAGGGGGCATTGGTTGGGGTACTTGAAAGAGTAAGAGGTAGTCAATTGAACAGTTGACTTGTTTGGCCTAAGTAGGTTCCTCCATCGAGATAGCGTCCAGCCGTTTCTCACTACTCACCTACGCGGCCAAAAAATTCATCCACCCGATTGACTTCTCCTCCAAGTAACACTTAAGCGAATCAGGTGACAGCCTACTAGCTGCATTTAAATGGGACACCCCCATGCAGGAAATTGATGATATTTACTTCTATCCATCTATCTACCTACCTATCGATCCCAATTCCCGTCCATCCATCCACCCACCCATCCACTCCAATTTACCAATTTGACTTGGGAGGATTAGCCTACCCGTACAACAGTATGCGCAAATCAGCCGTCCATCCAGTCGAGCAGTCGGTCAATTGTCACTTTGTAAAAGTGAGCTAACATCCTACTTACTGACCGAGCAACAATACGGTCAATTTCAACCGTCTACACACCCAATCAGCCGTCTACCCGCTTGTCATCCCACTTTGGCATTCGATCCACCATGCATTTATCATTGATTCAGCCGGACACTCACGCACCCTTCATTTTATAACGAAACTGACCATTTATCCTTTCAGCTACTCATCTGTTAAACAGTTCGCTTCTTTATTCAGAAGTCCACAAGTCCATTTACCCAACCGCTCATTCATCAATCACATTATTCAATTGCCATCGAAACTCTCACTCGGCTTCCCTTCTGTTGTGAGTTGGATCCTCTAGCCCTAATTTTTAAACCCATCCATCCACCCACACATTCATTAATCCATCCTGATTGGACGCATTCCACCACCTAGAGCATCTAGCCTAACTACTCATCCACTAGCTGGACCTTCTACTCGGTTATCCACTCACCCACGAACCTACAAATTCATCAAACCGCCTGTCCAAACGTCGTTCTATCCATTTTCCATCTATCCATTAATTTATTGAAATACATCAGTCATTGAACCATCTATACATGCTATTTTAGCAATCGAACTAACTCAATTTTTCGAAAGCACCAATTGACAGTCTCATTCCCATCACCTTGGAGCGACCATTTTTGGCACACGGACACACCGTGATGCGAGTAAGTTGTGAGAAGCAGGTACGAACAATCGCACCTCAATAATAGGCGATAATGGCGTCGTGACTACCGATTGTGCTACGGAAAAGGTAGTGAAGTACCAGTTTAAAAACTTCAACTAGCATAGTAAATTGCATGGAATACACGAACTGAACACTTGATGAAACATAAGTGGCAGTGAATAAACCCATAAAAAATAGCGGTAAATGTAAGGAGGACTAATGAGCGATTTCATCTTTTTGGCGCATACTACCTATAAAACACTGGCAAAGAAGAAATGGTATAGGAGATCACACAGCTAAAACAGAAGAGGAGGGAATGTGCAGTGGTGGAGATTTAACTCACCGGGAGCGGGTTGATAAGGTGGATTGCCGGTTGGCGGTTTGGGAGCCGGTACTGGTTGGTAGATCATCGATTGAGGATAGGCAGCAGAGGGTACGGGTCCCTGGCCACCAAAGCCATACTAAAAAAATCAGGAAAATGTGAACCTCCACTATCTCTACAACGTCCAACTTCGTGAACCTTGAAGGAGTGAGCACTTACATGACTATTTCAACAAACTTCTAATTAAATGTAGCAACTCCACAAAGGTGAACTTTTAAGAAGTTGAAATACTACGTAGTTCGACTTCAGCTGCACTAGTCAATCAGAGAGTAGATTACTGTCAAGTGGATACTAGGCACGTGCTAAAGTGAAAGGTGAAGAGTCAGTCGCACTCGCCGCAATATACAAGTTTGTCAGCGGAAAAAGTACGGCCCCCGTTAAGTGGACCATGTGATACAACTGCGCCGCGGATTAGTCCCGATAACTTTAATCTCTCCAACAAAAACTATTCTTTCTGTAGTCACATTTATTGTTCTAATAATATCACTACAATTTCTAGAATAATTATAAGCTCGATAGTGTGAGAAAATCTAAAAATAAACGTCCCTTATACAGACAGCTTCCAGTCATAACCTCTACGTTCGCCTTCTATGTCTCTGAAGTAGGATTATTCACCAGTTTCTAAGTCCAAATACATTACTGGAAGTATTTTGAGTGATGCTGGGTAGGGTATATGTGACTGACAGGAAAGGATCGCGGAAGTCCGTTACGTTCAAATCTGCAGACGTGACAGCGGTGAAAGGGATATCCAAGGCGCAGCTTTAAACCAAATAAAACGATAATTCCTCCCGAAAGATTTGTGAACTTGTTCCCCCACCTACTGCTGAATCCCCTTACGCGTAGCACAGGCCTGTCTGAAAGCAGCCGTGCAGTTAAGGCAAGGATGAAAATGATACACGCATCCGCACATGCTACTTAGTTGATTTATCAGTGGCATACACTTACCCCACCCGACGAATTGAGTGTAGGATTAGGAAATCCTGCTGCCACCGTTTGTGGGAACAATTGCGACGGCTGCGGTTGAGCAGCCATTGTTCTCGCCGTTACCAGCTCATGGTACTGGGCCAGCGCTTCTGTCAACCTCTGTTTCAACGCATCTACCTCACTGATTCGCGTGTAGACACCTTCCAGCTCGGCCTCAATAAGCGGCTCCATGGCTCGACACTGCTGTTCCATAGCAGGCAAATCTTCTGGGTCAGGACGAGATACACCCGTCGTGTCCGCATCGCCCAACATCTCTAAACAGTTTTCCACCAATTGAGGGTCGATTTTCACGGGTTTTTGAGAGGTTTCTCCCGCATCATTCTCCCCCTTCACCCCATTTTTCGTCTCAACTTTCTCCTTCTCCCCATCAAAATCACGAGTGACGAACTGAGCGGGGAAAAGACCCTCCCCATTGTGGTTACTCCCCTTCCACCAATTCGGATCAGAATCATCCAGCAAATTAAAGACATCCCCTGCCTTGAAGGTGAGTTCGTTGTCCTCCGCCGCTTCGAAATCGAATAGAGCACGAACGCATCCCAAATCTTTCTTCCCATTCGAGATAGCGACATTCGATTGAAGGGTGGGATAAGCTGTTGATGCTGAAGACTGCGGCTGCACTTGTCCTTGCGGTGTAGCATTTTGGGCATCATTCAAAGAGAGGGCTATTGCTGAACAGAAAAGGAAATTAAACATGACTTCATTAGTAGCCTAAATGGGTAATAGGCGAGAGGATAGACGGATGGATGCATTTAGGTTCATCCAGGGAGCGCATGAAGCGAATCTTGAATAGAGTTCGATTAACGGTTCAATCATGCCAGAATCTACGATACTAGTTTGAAGGTCCTCCAGTTAATCAACGAATTCGTAGCATTTTCTTCAGGATTACATCATGCAATTCATCCACTTACCATCACTGTGGTTATGGTTGTGAAACTAGTGTTAACTGGGAGGACGTCGAGGATGATGTTTAGAATAAGATCAGCAACCGAAAGGAGGGAGACTATGCCGCATTTTGTATGAATTTCCAGTCCGCCAGAGGTATTTTTGGATGTAAAAAAAGATGGGAAAATTATGCACCCGTTCAAATGTGAGATGCTCGCATAGGATATCTTTGCACTTCTTAAAAGGAATTCACTGTTGACTCTAGGCTTTGGGAAGTGAAAACTAGGGCAAGAAAAGCCTTCTCTCGTTACAAAAGTGTTGGAATGTTCTAGGATGACACCAATCTTAGCGTTGAGAGGTTATCACCAAGATATCAATCTCCAAAATATGGTCGGTTTCAAAACTTTATTACTATTTCAAGTGTTTGACAATCTGAGGTTAAAGCGAATTATGTGTCAAGAACAGCCCTTGGTTAAATCGGAGAGTTGATAAAGATTCAGACTCTAATAAGTGATATTTAAACCTCACGGAATTGCAATAAAGACATCTTTGGAGGTTAAGCAGGAAAAAAGGATTGCTTTTTGGCAGTTTGAAGGACTAAGTACAGAACATTCAGGCTTAACATGCGCAATGCTGGAAACATAAGCATACAATTTTTGATATTCCTACTTGGGCCCATGCACCACACTGATGCAAATAATTATGTAGGATATAGAAAACGAGATCAATGGTAGCTGATGTCACGTTAGAGGAAAAAGGCATCCCAGTAGTTGTGGTGATCAACTTTGCACCGAGAACCAAGCAACGTACATCATAAACGGACCCTTAGGAAAAGTATGGGTTGACATGTGACTGCAAAGCCTCATACGCAAATATTCATCACGAGGCCTTACTTTTAGTCTCACCTGACACTGAGTGGGTGAAACAGTAGTTTTGGCAAAGTAAATACTTTCGGTGAACCCATAGATTAATCAATGAAGGGAAATCACATCGTTGTCTATGGATGAGAATATGAAGGTTGGCAGCAAAAGAATTAGGTCAAGAATAGGCGAACTCTAAATGGCTTGAAGAATAAACAGCTAAGTGGAGCGATCAACAAGTGGATGGATGCTTCATCGCAAGAACCGATAGTCAAAGTATGAATAACTTTGGAGAGGAGCAAACAAGTAATAAGTATTTCGACGGATCACGAGTGAACTACTGAATTCAAAAACGATGGATAAATTGGGCATGATGAATGGATAAATGAAAAATCCAAATATAATTGATAAACATTTGGCGCTTTTGGAAATTCGACAAAGGATCGCTTATTGAGGTATAGACAGAAGGCCACTGTGGGGGTGGGGAAGAAGTATAGACTGACAAAACAAAGCGTCACTATCGCCATTCGCTGTAAAATCTCTTATTTTTGGCCGCAATTGTGACAAGGAACGAGAAGCTGCACCCTTGGCAAAAAAAAACATACCGTCAGCAGATCAAGTGGCATTTTCGTAGAAACGTAACTATGGCGACTCGCAACAGAAGGACCAAGTGAAAACCAAGTTGTATGAACAGACGAATGAATCAATAGTGGACGGGTTGACTAACGGGTGATAGTTGGAGTAAGGCACTAATGAGTGAATTGATGAGTAGAATAGACCAAGGATGGGTGGATGAATAGGTGAGGTGTGGGTCGATGACTCGACCAGTGGATGCAAGACGGCTTAGAAGTGAATGGAAGAAACCACAAAGCTCCTAAGAGAATGGGTGAATACAAATTGCGTCAGTTTTGGGTAATCACTTCGTATCTAATAAGCAGGAGAATGGTAAAAATTCCGAGAAACGCTGGAGACGACGCTCAAAAACGGAGACGGGCTGTGTGGCATCCTCTAAACGTTTCCCGCCTGCTACAGACATGTTGCAGGGACACTATATTAGTTGTATGTAGCAAGATTCCGAGTGGCTACGCTTTACCATCGTACACACGCCCACGCAAATTAATCGGTAATTTAGGTATCCACATCAACTTCAGCGAGGTATGTCGCGATGGCGCAACAAAACAGGAATAAAGATATCAATGTGGCTTATGTGAGTTATGAGTCAATTCACAAGTTATTTTATGAAAGGCATCATCTACGAGCTCTAATTGCAATCCCCTTTGTAAAAAAACTGCATTAATTTCTAGCTGAAGATAACCTAAATCGACTTGGATACCTTGTAACAACGACAATTATGCGTAAAAGGGCCGTGGGATAGACTAAATTGACGGTCATTTAATCGATGTGCAAGAAACACCAAAAAGCACAAACCTTTGGCAATATCTTCCTCTTCCTTCACCTGTAGATTCCGATCAATCCGTTTGTTCTTTGTCGCCTTGGACACCCAAAAAGATTCAATCAAAATTAAGCCCCACATCCCAAATTAATGAGATTCGTATAAAGAATTACTTACATTCAATGACCTTTCTAGCTCACGAACATGCGACGGATGCTCATGTTTAATCCACGTGTAAAGTGCCGCTAGGAGACTAAGAAATAAGTAAGATAAATGCACTCACCTAAATTCGGGGTTGTCTTTGTAGTCCTCGGCCCACTGTTTGGTAAGCTCAATGAGCCTCAGTCTCGGTGTTGCCTGGAGTTTCTGCGAATAATAATGTGAAAAGGAGTGGAAAAACCTACTGGATACTTCTGCTTAAAGGTACTAACAAAGTCCTTCGATGACATTTCACGAGCAAACGGGTTCCCGGCATTTTTAACACAAGCATCAAGAAGCTAAGAGAGTTGTTAATAGATCGTATACAGTGGTTTACTGTTATTGCTTTCATAGTAACATTTGGATTTTGTTGGAAAATCTTCCTCATAATGCATTTGAGGCACTGCTTAGGCCTAAAATAGGAAGTAGAGGAAGACAATAAGCATACTGTCCAACCGCGTAAGTATCGGAAATGTGAAGGATTTGTGCCCAGTTATCATCCAGAGTTTTGGGATCACAGCACTTTTCTATGGGAGGATATTAAGACCAGGAAGACCGAAGTACCGATAGCTACCTCCATCTCTTGGTTGTTTCGTTGACCGCGCACCCTTTAATGCTGGCTCTCAACCTACTTACTGAAAGCATCGAAGTGGAACGTCAACAATTAAAAAATGCAGTCAGAGTGATTTATTTTATCATTTTTACAAAAACCTGTTAAAACTAATTTGTTTGAGTAACTAAGGCTAATTTTTAATATTTTATAAGCGTCACGAATCATTAAGCAAAACTGAACAAAACCATTTTATTTTTAAGCCGCTACACATCTATTTCCGATTTGTAAAACAGAAGTATGGTAAAGAAGAGGAAGCAATGTGATTACACTTATTTGACTTTGTCTTTTGTTCCAACACTGGTTAAACGAAAGTTGTAAAACATTCTCGTGATAAAAAGCAATTTTCCTGCGCAAAGAACTTTTCTGATTCTGCTATTTATCACTATTATAGATTTAATTGAACTTTATATGTTTTTGTATTCGAATTTTTTAAAGACCTTCTTAGAGGTTTAAGTCTGTGGCTAGATTTATGATGACGATTAGAACTGGCCATTAATGAATTATTTGAATGGATAGGGTTGTATACTTAAGCGTAAAATCAACCAGTAACATAGTTCTAGCAAATGTTTAGGCAACCTCCGAGTCTACCTTGAAGCCGTAAGGAATCACAGTGGTATGGGAGAATTTAAATTGCTGACTTACAGAAGGACTAAGTAGCTACTCACGTGATACGTGGGCTATACCACCAACGAAAGTGTGGTCTACGGGGCCCTGAGCGCCCTTCTAATCAAACGAACATTAGATAATCTATCAAATGATGACTGATTATTAACGTGGATAATGTCTCTAAGGCCACAGGCGTAGCTGAAGAACCCTACCGCCCAGTAAATGCGCAGTCCGAGGCGTCTCAATTGTCCAAGCACCTAAACATGAGATTTAGCTCAGTAAGAACAAAAATCAGCTTTAATTCATCCTCAGAGCTCATCTTCATCCTCATCTTTTCTTTTCACAAAACCCTAGGTGCGCGTCCCCTGGCACCAATTTTTTGAGTCTATTATTTTGCGTTAGGCGGTTTGATCCGGCCACGATCACAGATCCTATGGGAATTTTGGCTCGTGGAATGATTTTAAGCACGCAGTTTATGGAAGTGTCCTGATATATGAAGTCTCCTAATCCTTCCAAATTAATGCAGATTCTTATCAAAGAGAAATAATGCAACTTTCTCAGTGTCCACCTTACGTCGGTAGGAGTGAAGACTTTTTCGGCACTTCGTTCCCTTTCCTTTTCTCCTCAAAACGCATTCGTAATATAACGGAAATTCAATTTTTAAATTCACCAAATTCACATTAGATTTGCCGCACTTGTCTTGTGGGCGCTGTAATATTCACCGGTACGGTGATGCATTCTGCCAGAAATTGGGTCAAGCAGCCAAAACACAAATCATACAGCAGCAGCAGCAGCAGAAGCAGCAGCACCACACAGACTTACCCGATATTGTGCCCTGTTGCCGACCTCGCTATTAGCCGGGTTTCTGGTATTCTAAAATTAGCACCGAATTACAGGACTACCGGGAATTATTTGGTTTGCTTTGAATGAGGCGTATGGGATATTTAGCAGTTGAAATGACAAGAAAAAGGCGGTTTTGATTCAAGTGCTCGAGGTCCCATCTTTATGTCAAAGATCCTTCAGATGGCAACAAGTAAGTTGCAGAGATCACTCGATTTGTGATGGCAAGATGAGGGGCCAAGGGTAGTAACAAAGTAGAAATGGGTACGCTAAGGCGTACCGCAGAGATGGCAGGTGGATGAATGTCCACCACTGCTTTGTAAGGAGGGTGAATAAAAACCTGCGTCTATTAAGCAAGTACCAAAAATCGTGTCATCTAGCCGTACACCTTAAGACACCGTTTCCCCTATTTCAAAGAACTCCACGTCCCTCTTCAATATTTGGCACTCTCTCTCCTTCTTGATCACAGAATATGTGGAGATTTGCCTTTACTGGCAGCACGCTCACCCACAGTGGCGAAATACGTGACATGGCTGAGAGACGGCTTTTGAAGAAAGCTTTTTCTGTAGTTAAACAAAAAAAGT